CTACCACAGGGCCGAGGTGAGACTGCCAGGGCACGCGCAGGGCATCGGGGTGGCTGTCTGCAGGTCACCTTCCTCTCCAGCTGGAGGGACGAGGCTGCTCGCGCGTGTGCCGGAAGCGCCGGCAAAGGCCGGGCTGTTTTGCTGTCTCCAGGGGTGGGCGGCCGATAACCGGCCACTCCCTGCCCGCGTCCCCCTCGCTTCCAGAGCGCTGAGTACAGCATCCTGGTGATCGGCGTGCCCAACGTGGGCAAGTCATCGCTCATCAACTCCCTGCGGAGGCTGCACCTCAAAAAGGGTATTTCTGCGTGGTGCCTGGGCTTGGGGAGGAGCCTCTGGTGGAGCCGTGGAGCGGGCGGTGGGGCAGAGCGTCACTTGCGTCTCTAACCGCGTCTCTCCTTTCCCCAAAGGGAAAGCCACCGCGGTCGGTGGCGAGCCAGGCATCACCAAAGCAGTGCTGACCAGAATCCAGGTACTGTCCCCGCGGCGCAGCCGGCTGGGTGGGTGCTGGCCTCTGCCTCCCCGCATCCCCTCACAGCAGCTCTGGGAAACCTCGAGGCGCGCAGAGCGGATCTCAAAGGGTTGTTCGGGTCCCCTTTCCAGCGAGATCTTAACGAAACGGCTCAACGCCTCGCTCGTTAGCTGTCGGGAGTCCGTGGTGCTAATTACCGAGCCGCGTGTCCTAACTGCCCTGCCTTCCCCCACCCCAGGTCTGCGAGAAGCCCCTAATGTACCTGGTGGACACGCCTGGTGTGCTGCCCCCGAAGCTGGGGGACGTGGAGACGGGCATGAAGCTGGCGCTGTGCGGTGGGTGAGGTGGAGGCTGTGGCCAGGGGCGCTCCCCAAACGTGGCTTCAAGCCCCGTCTGAGCCTGGTACCTGAGGCTGGGGCAGGAGTCTGCTGCTCACGGCCCCCCCAGGCCGGCACGCGCTGCCTGGGTGCCCACGGGTGGCACATGGACAGCGAGAAGGGTGGCCGGGGCTGGGAGGAGTTGGGGCTTGATCCTCTTTTTCAGGAACCATCCGTGATCACCTGGTAGGGGAGGACATCATGGCCGACTACCTCCTGTATGCCCTGAACAAGCGGCAGCAGTTCGGGTGAGCCGGCGGGGGAACCGGAGAGATCCCCTGGGCTGCATCCGCTGCCTGTGGTCCCAAGTGGGTGGTGGAGAAACTGTCCCCGGGGAATTGCAGGGGGGAGAAGCGATGCTGGCGGGGTCTG